GCGGCACCGCTGCCATTCTGAGAGGTGGTGAGCCGGGAGCCAAGGGCCTGGGCACACGCGGGGGCAGGTGGTGTTGGGTGCTGGGGAGCAGTGCTGCACGTAGGCCATAGCCAGACCGTAAATGCACGCATGTCAGCAAGGTTATTGTGGTGGTTCTCGGGAGGACAGACTGTGGGGTACGTCATAGGACAGTGGAGAGAGAGAGGGGACATACCCGGTTCGTTGTGGAGGTCTGCATGGGTGACATCCGCTGGTGAAGTCATCTGGTTGTGGCATTTGTAGCGTACGCTAGCTAGTATAGGAGCTGTGTGATCGTAGTCTCGATGCCGAGCGCCAATTAGGAGAAGAGAGGATGAACACATTGTTGATGGAGGCGAGACGAGGGCTGACGCTGACGACTGAGTTCATTTCTTTGGTCTCCTTTGATGTATGAATTGGTGCATTCTGCTTTCTAGACAGCTCTCAACTACCTGGCTTTCAATGTGATGTCGTAATTTCGATTTCTGCCATTCGCTCCTGCTCATATTCCTTGCAGAGATGTTTAGACTGCTGTTTGGCAACGGCACAGTGCGCTCTTTCAAGGGCCGCAAGGTACAATTTTTTGCACCACCCCAAGAAAAGCCAGTAAGAGCGACACTCAGATTGGCACACAGACCACAGCAAAAAGACAGCGCATGGGTCGTGCAACAGCAGCCTATGCCATCATTGAAAAAAAAAACAGGGGCGACACCCTTGAGATATCATCGTGAAAGTGCCCGGCCCCAGGCAATTCAGGAACTTTGTTAATCCCTTTCCACCTGGATTCGAACTCAGGTCTGCATTCCAGCAAACGTAGCAAACTTCCAATCCAGGCACTCTGTTCAATAACTGCCTTGATCCCATCTTCACGGGGCCTTTGGTGAGCCATGAACACCCAATCACAACCACTCGGTGTTCTAGAATACTGACATCTGCAATTTGTAACTGGAAGATCGAAAGCTTATCATAGAGACTTTGAAATATCTCGACATACATTTCAGGAGATCGCTCATGCTTGTTTATTACCTGGACTTGCTAAATCAAGTTTGTTCATGGTCTGGAGTTGGTACCCATCCGAGCTTTAGTGATGTACATTGTCACATATCTATGAACTAAAAGAGCGCACTTTGCAAAACATACAGTGAAAACAAGGGTACCTGTTGCGGCTTCGCTCGCAAGGGATTGAGGGGGAAATGGGAGAAATGAGTCAGGGTGGTGGGTTCGGTGGGTTTTGGGGTGGTGGTAGGGGGTGTTTTTAGACTCATGGTCCCGTGGGAGGTTGTGCCCTAACAGCTATGGCAATGTGTGTGCAGCACCTCCTGCTAGTTGGGGAGGTTCTGCAACTGCTGGCTTTGGAAGTCGGCATGCTATGTCTACCCCTACTGTCTTCCCCCGACTCTAGACTGAAATCCAGC